CTTCCATGTGACATATATTAATGGTCTGTTCCACAGTCAGCAACCTGGCCTAGTTTTACCTGCTGATATCCAGCTTCCCCATTGTCCCTTCCCACAGATGTAGTCAATTTGATTTCTCTGTATTCCATCCTGGAAGGTTCCTCTACAGGGAACATGTAGCTATTTAATGACTGCCATTCTTTTCTAACAACAGACTGCCATCTAAGTCCTAGTGAAGGCCGCTTAGTAACGCCCACCATCAGAACATGGACTGAAATCCAGACGGTGACGACACGCAAGGTTGACCTGAACAGATATAAAATCGGTCTAGGGAGGATTTGCAATATTGCCCTAGTCGGGCCAGTGGGGGTTGCTAGGCCCCCCACGGTGACAGTTAAATGAAAAGATAAGACATCTGAATTTCATGCACAAGTACCTGTGACATCTTTAGGACACACCACTCATGCAGCTGCTCGCCTCAGAAATGTACACGGTTCACCATGGGAGAAATGAAGGTTACTTCTTGGCATTAAAACTGACATGATTCACATTTCAAAGTTCCACAGCCTGTAAAATCTTTCTTCTCTGTTTTCATAAGTAACTGACCCCAAACAATATTCCTGACTAATTTACATCCTGTGTGTTAAGAGCTGGAGAATTGATTCCCTCCATATTCTGACCAGTTCCTTTATACTCTCATTTTTTATTTATTTGTTACTGGACCTAAGTGAGATTTGGAAAATCCCATTCAATTCACAAAGAACTCTGAAAGGAAACGCGCTTCATCTAGGAAGAATTGTGTTCCTATTTGTTGAATCACCTAAGACAGGGTTCCTTTCATTCTGAGCAGCAGACATTTATTTAATGTTCTTTGATGGTAAGAGTTGGGCTGGATACTGAGGTGAGGGTCAGTCAAGTCTGCATCGCTGTCAAGTTTGTCTGTGCCTTTCCTCTGCCTCTCCTTAGAGGAGACAGACAGACATATACACCGCTTGTTTGCTTCAACTCAATGGACTTGTCAAGAGAAGTTCACCCTTCTCCATGGCTCTGTGTCTCACTTTAGTGCACATTATTATCCTTCAAATTTAAGTTCACCTTCCAACCTCATCTGCTGGCCTTGCCACTGACTGTGCGGAGAACGCTCCGTTCTGTGTGCGGTGAACAGAGGAGAAGAATGGAAACCACACTGACCTTGGCTTAAATATTGGTTCACCCAGTAACTTGTGACAGGGCCAGAAGGGTTTTTCATACTCAGCCTCAGTCTGAATAATAGGAATAGACATGGGAGAATAAATAAGTTTAAGCCTAAAGAAAACATTCCAGGTCATGAAATGCTCCTTTTTACCACGAAAGAAGGCAATGTGATGCCCTTTTATTTAAAGCCTCCCACACAGAATAGTCTATTTTGTGGATGGGTGTATAGCAGCTCTCCCTCGAGCCTGGATTAGAGAAGGCCCTACGCTTAGTGATGCTTCAGGACTCCTTACAGAATAAGTAGAGGGAACTTACTCTCAGGGGCGTGAAGTGCCCTGCTTCATGCCACAAGACATATCACTGAGATCTCCTCTTTCATCTTAAAAAGAGAACACTGAGCATCATCGCCTATACTACCCTCTATTTACTAAAATAAACACTGGGTATTCACCATCAGTTAGACTGACTGATTGACTTATCTCTATCTTGTAAAATCAACCCTCTAAAATATCCTCCCTAATTAGATGAGGGTATCTTTTGCCTCTATGACTTAATATGCCTTTCTTTGATAGTATGCAGAGTATGTTGTGCTAATAATAAGTCAGGATGTGTGTGTGTGTGTGTACACACATATATATCTATATGCCATCAGGGACTGTCTTACAAACACACACTCAAATTGCCAACAATGCTTTCATCTAGAAACAGAGGCACTTGCTAGAGAGAGTTACGTACAAGATTTCCGTTAGAGCACAGTGAAACAGAACTGGGTTCTGGGCCCACACTGCACATAATCCAGTGCCTGGAAAAGACAATGGGTCCCTCCCGATCCCAAAATCTTCAGGGAGGGTAACTTTGACAGGAGATAACCATTTTTAACTCGGGAAAGGTAAGCTGGATAAAGAGCTTTACTTAATTATGGAACACAGGAAAGCAATGCCAAGGATGACCAAAGGTATACTGAGAGTTGACAAGAGATATGACAATGTCCATTATAATGCAAAAGAACTACTGTCCCCACTTGTGAACTTTTTGATGAATGAATGAATGAATAAAGGATTGGATGAAGGAGTACCAAGAAAATGTCAAAAACAAACAAGCAAGCCAACAAACAAACAGATAAACATGCAACTCGTTCTCAACCAGGAACTCAAAAGGACCAAGTTCAAGTGGATTGGGGAATAGGGCTTCCTTAATTTCCAGGTCCAGGCAGAGCTTTGGGGATGGAAATCAAACAACTAAAAATGTTAATATACCAGAAAATATTCAGAGAGGGATGTACCCAAACATAGGCGATAACAATCTAAAATAATGCCCCTTTTTTTCTGGAGGGAAATTTAACAATATGTACAAGAACCTTAAAAAAGTCTATTGTCATAGATGTGCTAGGTCCATTTTTATGACTGTCCTTAGATTCAAAACATACAGACATCTGTATAAAGTTTGACATTTACTTTACTTAACATACCCCAAAATATCAAACCTAGAAGTAACTGAAATGCCCAACAATGGGGAAATGGTGAAGTAGACAGTTGCCATGTGAAAATACCACTGCCCCACCAGCACAGAGATGTATTCAAGCCTGTCACTGAGCACGGAGGTGGCACAGGGCCTGGTGATGCTTCATTCCCTTACACACAGATTGCTACCAATCAAAACTAAGGAGACAGCAGCTGATGACATCAAACATCCTCCATGTAACAGCACCATCTACAATACTTCTTTTTACACAGGGTTTTACATAGTTGACTTCATGGGAAGAAAGATTCATCATGATGCTGCATTAAATGGAAACAGAAGTGCAAACACACATTTCCAAAATGATACCAATTTAGCAAACATCTACACACACATGGATTTGGGGGGCATCATCAAAACACTGGAAAAAAGTCAACAAGTATTCTTGATTCAAAAGGTTTAAAAGCAATATAAACATTTCAATCATTTACTGTGAGTAGACAACTTTTCATTCCAATAGCCAAGCATCATTAGAAATAAACAACATCTACAATGATCGCACAATGTACAAGCCCTGGTATGGTAAGGTCCTCGTGAAGGGATGGTATGGGGCCTTTCTACACACAAACTATAAAGAGAGAATCACTTCCCCTGTCCTGCATGCAGGTCACCCCCCTGTCTTTTGTCCCAGCATGCCTTGTCCATGACAGGCCCTTACTCACTCAAGCACACACACATAAACCTAAAGAGTCACAGTAGCTTCTATTTATAACACCTTGCAAAAGTAATCATATGAACAATTTTATTGAAACAGTCAATATTTTTCCCCCAACAATGATCTCCCTGTGCATCCAAGTGGCCTATTTCTTTTTAAAAATGTTGCGAGCTATTCATGAAAAGGGGACCGCTGAGCAGCAGGGTACACAGAGGCCATGCTCGTGGGAAGACAGTAGGATCATCACCACATATTTTAGGGTCATCTTCATCAGCTTTAATGGAAGATTTTTAATACTGGCTGGTGGGCTGCATTCTGACAAAGAGAAAAATGTTTTGAGTTCTCCTCCAAAAAAGTGAGAAGCAATTTTAATATCACATTGCTTTCCAAGCAGTTGAGCCTACCTGTCTCGCCCTTGCAAATTGCTACCCTGCAACGCCAGACGCACCGTCTCTCCGTTCCTCACCTGCAGCACAGGGAGAGCAGCGGCCTTGTGCAATTGTTACCTTGCCGGGAAGTGGGAGAGCGCATTGCTTGTGCAGTAGGTGCGGGGCTCCTCCTCACAACGGTGACGAGATAGTCAGACTCAGCTCACCTTCATTCTTTCGTGGAAACCCATTCTGTGCAACAGGCAGAACTAAGCATTTTAGGCTTTGCCTAGTCAACAATCTATTGGGATTCATTAAAAAATAACCATACCATGTGAGGACTATGAATTTAAAACCATCATGAAATCATGGCTGGGAATATGATTCTGAAAGTCCACCCAATAGAGTCCCAGAGGCCAAAGACGCCGAGGATTACTCGACATTATTCATTTGTTCCTTTTGGTATTTCAGGAAAAAAGCTATTCTGATCTGAGAGCTCAGACCCCCTGTGTTGCCATTTGAGCCTCAAACTAACCTCTCAGGATGTCATGAAGCTCCTTGCATCAAGTATGCTCATTTGAATATTGTTGAGGAAGGGGTCTAGCCTAGATGTTCTCCTTGGCAGAGGAAATAGAGTGATACTTCCTTGAACTTTGTTATCTCTTCCTAATTCAGACCAAGTCCTTCTAACAGATCATCTCCACGGACCCATTCGTTCATTCCATTCACTGGGGTTAGAAATAACCAGGGTCCCAGATGACTTCCAGGCTTGCAATGTTGCATGTAAACGTCTGTGACTTCCTGTGCACCCTGACTACAACTACACACAGGTATGGGAGAGGCCTGAGGTGGGATGCAACAGACATCTCTAAACTCCCATCTTCCAGTCGACACCCTATAAGTAGAAGTGGTACCCTATAAGTAGAAGTGGTATGCACGCAGTGACTCCATTTCTAATTTTAGCCTCGTGTTTTCATCTTACATTAGAACTCACTGGGATCAACTACATGAGTTGGTCTTTTAATGTCAACTAAGATTACACTGTTTTAGACATAAGTCTCAACATCACGCGCAGCCCAAAATAGCCCAGAGTGCTGTTCGGTTACTAACAAAGCTCAGTATTTGACATCTCAGATCATTTCATCACACGGAAATGTGCTCAAACGGGGACATCATCTAGCAACATTGACATGTTCAGGACAGGGAGGCCGCAGAGGAAGGCTCGCATGGGGCAGTCGAGTTGTGAAAGGAAGGTGCTGCAGGTGACAGCATCTTCCAATCCTTACCTGATGTCGGTACACGTGATGCAACTGATGTCTCGACTATTGGTGGTAAAAAGGTTCAGGGCCACTGAAGTCTCATTGTCACTCGTAGGGTGCGCTCCGCACTTAAAGAAGAATTCCTGAAAGAATGAGAAAGGTGGTCACACACTTGGAATTCCGACCGGCCATTTCCCTACCCTGTCATAGGGTATGAGCAGAGTCTGCCGCAGTGACATGTCCTCTGAGGGATACCAATATCCCTGGGACAGCTGGACACCAATATCCAGGATGAAAATGTACCAGTGGGGGTGGGGGGCTTCACCATCTTGTCTTTTCTTCTTTCAGCCAGTGAGCTGGGGAAACAGTCAATGCCCTTAGCTTAGCTGTGCCCTCTGAAAAGAGAGTCAGGAAAGTAGATGGCACAACAGTTAGGTGCCTGGTTGCTCACGCGTGACAGTGACATAATCTCCTGTCAACTTGTGAAGGGGTCAGCCTGGCAATCAGGTTGCAGCTTGATGACTTCATTGGGAGGTGCAACAGAAATAAATAGTTCACTGGAGATAGGACACACACACTCTTCCTGGGAGACATTCCTATTGATAAACCACATGGAGCTATGCTGATGAAGCCATAGCCTTGGAGCGGGAGGAGCTGTCCCATGCCAGCGCTGAGATGCTTCCATCACCACTGGACCCATCACTTTCCATCCACTGGCCTTGATCTACCTGCATCCAGCATCATCGCATGGTGCATGAGCCTAAAAAGAAATTTATGGACTAGTATTGACATATGGGGTAATACCAGACTTATGGAATTGATCTGGACTGGGCTGGGATGTTTCCTTAATCTACAATTGCTCTTTGATATGAAGTTCTCTCTTACACACATATGAGTATCTATGAATTTGTTTCTCTAGTTAACCCAGACTAACACAGCATGGAAACACTGGTAGTTTGAAGCCATTTCAGTGGGAGAAACACCTAGTAATCTGCTCCCGTAAATACGACAGGCTAGACACCCTATGTGCAGTTCTGCTCTGACACATGGGGCTGTGAAGACTTGGAATGGACTCTCCAACACCCTCCAGCAGTGCTTCTCAACCTTCCTAATGCCACGTCCATTAATATGGTTCCTCATTTTGTGATGACCACCCCCCCCCGCCCATAAAATTATATTCATTGCTAATTCATAACTTTAATTTTGCTACTGTAATGAATTGAGCGACCCCTGTGAAAGGGTCGTTCAACACCCAAAGGGGTCTCGACCCACTGGTTGAGAACCGCTGCCCGACAGCAACACGAACAATAGAATGATAGGGTAGGAATCTACATTATCTAACAAATGAGGCTGGGGGGCTCTGGGCCAAATGATGATCTACCCAAAGTCAACCGCTCAGAGGTGGAGCAGAGAGTAGCCCAGCTGCGAAGAGGGCAATGTGGTGGCTTTTCTGTAGACTCATCACACTCCTGGTCCTTTGTCCTTAAGGATGCACCATGAGCTCCAGCAACTAGAGAGCTGTTCTGTGGGTGAGCCTGCAAGTACCGAAGACCACAAGGTGAAGTATGGCTCTCCCCAGCTGAATTTAGACCATCTCTTTTCCTGCCTTGCTAAAAAAAAAATAAATAAAACCCTAAGGAAAAAAGCAATCCCTGTTGGGTCTGAGTAGAATTGTGCTCCCAAGGGTTGCCAGTGGATGCCCTTTGTGGAGATGACTGGCAGGCCTTTCTTCCAAAAGCCCTCGGTTAGCAAGCCCGTCCCTGCACTGTTGGTACCACCTTAAACTAAGTCCTGGCCATTGGTTCTGACTCATAGCATTCCTATAGAAGCGACTCTATGGGAGTAGAAATCCTTACTCTTCCCCAGCAGAGGGGCTGGTGGTTTTGACCTTGTGGTTAGCAGCTTATGTGTAACCCGCTATGTCCCAGGGCCCTGTGGTAACTCACTCACTCACTCACGCACTCTGTCATTGAGTTGATTCTGACTCACAGGGACTCTATAGGACAGGGTAGAACTATTCCCGTGGGTTTCTGAGATGGAGCCTCTTTTTAGGAGTAAAAGCTCTGTCTTGCACACCATCAGCACCTGGAGGTTTTGAACTCTGTGGTTCATAGTCCAAAGAGAAACCCCAGAGCTATTCTAGAGACCCTTAACGCTGGGTTACACCTCGGCAGTCCCTTCCCTGCAGGACGGCAGGGCCACACCCTTCCTTACCTCTCCCCAGACAAGTCTTATGGCAAGGAGCCCTGCTGGTGCTGGCGGGTTAATGCCAGATGCCTAACTGCAAGGTTAGAGGTTCCAACCCATCTGACACTCCTAGGGAGAGAAGCTGAGGCACTCTGCTTTAGGAAAGATTTGGGAAGCGTGACAACCCTCTGTACAGTTCTAGGAGTAGGGACTGACTTTATGGTAGTGAGTTTGGTTTGTGTATAACAGAAGACCCTAGGATATTTGTGTAAATATCCTAATTTGTGTCTGTGTGCAAATTAAAGCCTGCTGGACCTGCCCCGCCGCCACCACCACCTCCACCTTCGAGTCCCTAACTCAGTAGTTGTGAGATGAGATCAAAAGAACCAAGCTCATTGCCAGCCTGTCAATGCTGACTCAGAGAGGCCCCTGTGGATTTCTGAGACCATAACTATTCATGGGAGTAGAAACCTCCATCTTTCTCCCTTGGAGCTGCTAGTGGTTTTGAACTGCAGACCATGCACATCACACCCCAAAGTGTAGCCCAGGAGCCCTCAAACTACGGCCCTCGGGCCACATGCAGCCCACCGAGGACATTTATCCGGCCCGCCAGGTGTTTCCCCCCACCCTCCTTTTTTTACTTCAAAATAAGATATGTGCAGTGTGCATAGGAATTTGTTCATAGTTTTTTTTAAAAATGATAGTCCAGCCCTCCAATGGGTCTGAGGGACAGTGAACTGGCCCCTGTTTAAAAAGTTTGAGGAGCCCTGGTGTAACCACACCACCACCAGGGCTCCTTGTGGGATGAGGTGGTGTCTGCATTTCTAGTAAGTTCTGATCCTTGCTGTGATGCTGCCACCATTGGTCTGGGGACCACACTCTGAGAACCGTGGAGTCACAGCGCCTTTCTTGTAGAGATTTAAAATGTAGTTCTTCTCCCAAGGACCACAGTTGCAGCAGGCCTCATTTACTACATTTGAAAATGGTGCCATGTCCCAGGTAAGATATGTGAGTCTCCAAGATCTGCAGTCCCCCAATGACAAGTGATTGGAACCCAGTTAACCGTAAGGGCGGGCCATTTTACCAGTCTCAGCTGCTGTAACCTGGGCTGTAGACTGGTTCATTCTGGTTCAAAACCCTGCTGATGGTTGGTGTTTCCACACCTGAGAAAGGGAGTCTTTCAAATCGACTGTGGATCTTTCTACAATGCAGGTTTGAGGTCCGTCTATCTGGGCGGAAGGGTAATTCATCAGCAACGGGTGGGAATGGAATGAGCCCTTGGGAAGCCCTGACCTTGAGTGTTGGTTCGCTACAGCAGATGAGGCCTGCGGCCGCCTGCACTATCCTAGCCCGGTGGGGTGTTAGCAGATCCACATGTAGGCAGTCTGCCACCCAGAAGGGCCGGAGGAGAAACAGGGAGGAGCCTTTCTGAAGGGTCTTGTTCAAGGGCTCAGCTCTTTCCTACAAACCTGATCGAGGGGATGATGCTGGTTTGGGTTTGGGTTTATGAAACCTAGGGGCCATCCCTCTCATCTCAATTGTTAGAATGCTGCGTTCTAACATAGGCCAGATCAAGGGTCCTAATATAAAGATGACAAGAAACATAGAAATCACCAAATAGGTCTGGAGGACATCGCTGACCCTTATGAAATATGTGGAGCTAACTGTGATGGCTTTTTGCAGACACATAAAAAAATCCACATTCATAAGGAACGTAATGTAATTCCTAAAAAAAAACCCAAAACAGCTGAGTTGGCTGGATCATGGCAAAGGTATTTCTTATAAAGATGAATAGAGAGATGGTATTTATATTTTTTTCTGAGCTTGCAGAAAGCTCCTGGTAGACATTCTGATAACAAATCACACTCAGCTTTAATGCCAGGTCAGATGCAGCCAGACAGAATGCATCCAGATAAAATCCACAATCCGTTTTGTGAGTGGGGGCAGCAAATGGCTCCAGATAATGCCATACATAGCTATAGGAGCTGGAAAACTGCATTCCTCATGGCAGGAGAGGGGGCAGGGTAGCCCAGAAGCTTAAGCCCTTAAGTACTTGTTGTTTGGTACCTTCGCATCAGTTCCAACTTAGCACAACCCTGGTTCACAGAACCCAAACACTGCCCCTCCTGAGCCAGCCTCACAATGGTTCTTGTGCTTGAGCGCATTAATTCACCCTGTTTGGACCTTCCTCTTTTGCACTGACCCTCTACTTTACCAGCATGATGTCCTTCGCCAGGGACTGGTGTCTCCTGACATGTCCATGAGATCAGGTCTTGCCGTCCTTGCCTCTAAGGAGTATCCTGGCTGTGTTTCTTCCAAGGCAGGTCTGTTTGTTCTGTGGGCAGTTCACTATTCTTAGCCAGCACCACCATTAAAATGGATCAATTCTTCTTCTGCCTTCCTTATTCATTGTATAACTTCCATATGCATATGAGGTGATTGGGAACACCATGGCTTGGTCAGGCGTTCCTTAGTCCTCAGAGGAACCTTCTTGCTCTTCAACACTTAAAGAGGTCTTGTGCAGCAGAGTGACCGAACGCAATGCATCATTGATCTCTTGACTGGAGTACTTCGCTAGGCTAAAGGTTGCCAAAGCAACCTACCAGAGACCACTGGGAAGGCAGGGTTGGTGATTTTCTTCCACAAGCCTTGGCCACTTGATGGAACATTTCTACTCTGTCCACTTGGATTGCTTTGAGTTACAGTCGACATCATAGCAACATAACAGCAGGAACAACATGAACTGCATAAGCCTCATCCATGAATTTCAGAACTTTTCTCATGGACAGTGAGTTAGATAATTGTGCCAACCTGGCCGATAATCACATGTGGGGCTAATTGAAAGGCGGAGGGATAAATGGGTGGTGAGCCTCGCCTTTCTAGTTCTCAGGTCTCTTGCTTTGTGATGGTTGCAAGATTGACTTCCTACAAGACATTCCCAAGGAGAAGCCACATG